TCGTAAAGAGAATTGATAATCTTTTTTTAACCCACAATGACCTACGCATAATAGCATCAAATGTATTCATTCGCTAACAATTTCGACTCTATAAACTCTTGCGCAAACAGACTTTTGCAACTTTGTAAACAAATAAGAAGATCAACTGACTAATTTAGTAGATCTGTAGCAAAACCCTACAGAGAACGTATCTACAATTAAAAGTGACAAATCTATTAGTAATTAAAATCAATTAAGTATTAACACAGATAATATAATACTAGGTATTAATTACAAAAAGGGTTAACTATTTCAAAATAACCCTTAATAAAATATCTTTAAGGATGCAGCTTCAAATAAGGTTAGAAAAATTAAATGATCGGTTCTTTACCAGTCGTATAGACGTGACAATTAAGTATTGCTTGCCCTTCGGAAAATAATAACAGATAGATACTTTTAGATGCGCTTACATTGTCAAACACTGATACCATTACACAATTTATTGCCATAAAAAGGCTCATTCAACTCGAATCATAATCATAAGCTAGTAACGCAGCGGCGGCAGGGCCCCCATTAATACAGAGTTTGCAAGTAGTAGTTAATATCTTAATAAGAAACCAATACAGATTACTAGCCGTGTCCGTAAGGTGGACAGGAATAATGGCCACTATGTGTGGTCTGTTAGAGAGGGGGTTAATATCGATAGACAGACATCGATGCGAGTTGATGAAGCGAAGACGATAACGTTAACTTTGGAATATATTTAGGGGCATTTTAACTAAACATAATATGTACCCCAGTATTAAAAGTTTCACTGGCACAATACTTAGTTATGAGAAGTTAAGGTTATCTTCAACTAACAATAAAATACACAGATCATAAATATACCAATTTATAATATTGGCGTGTGCCATTGGGATCTTTTCTATTTTCGTTTTTTTCCTATCATCGAATCCTATTCATTAGATAATCTAAGTGCTTGGGTGAGAGCTCAGATCATAGAAAGAGAATAGATATGAAGTCGCGCGTAACTACAACGAGAACCAGTGGCCCCACATTTCCCCCACCACAGCTCCCACACACACATTCAACTGTGTAAAAACAAAGCGACTGAGAGTCTACGACAACATGTGCAACCGGCTTAAAAGTGCTGTGATTGGCCAGAAGGCGTGCCTTATGGCCAATCAATGGCCGCGTGACGTGACGCACACTTTGAAAACGCTAGTGAGAGAACAAAGATAAAATGCAGTCGACAAGATATCGATACTTTAAATCGCTAGGGGCAAGGCTCTAAAGTACTCTAAACTGGTTTCACAAAATGCTTATGTATGAAAACCTTTTTATTATTATACGTTATTATTAACTACTATCACGCATTTACTTTTTAATTATGGCGATCTGCTTACCGCACATGTTTATCAAAAATAATGCCTATATTAGGCTTTCAACTAGCTCTTATAGTAATTACATAGTTGACATAGTTCTTTCGTTTCACTTGTTTTATTGCACGTAACGTCGCATTATCCAAAATATCGGAGAACATTTCCTTAGTACGACTGAATCGCGACTAACCTAGCTACGCGGCCGATGTTCGTTTCTGGGCATATCGCGGAGATACGCGCCACGCCCCCGTTTCACATCTATTCCCTTCTATGATCTGAGGGTGAGAGCGACCTATAGTCTTCTGGTTCTGGATAAGCCCACCCCACAAGGCCCACCATCCTTGTTCTACCTAACGTGTCAATTAAACTCAAAAAGTCGCAGATCAACGGTAGTTCATCCTACTTACCTGATACCTATGCGATTTGAAAAGCTCCAATAGAAGATATAAATTTTATCGACATAAAAATAAATTCCCACCTCTTCTCAACGCTGCAACCTGTGTAACCAGGATCTACAGTTTCACCGCCACGAAACCCAACCAGTCGTCTATCGACACGTGATCTGACACATCACTAGTAGACCATAGGTATGTATTTAGCTCATCATTGTTTACCGTGTTACTGAGTAATTAATTTAAACTACGGACCCTAGACTCGTGTAATTGTTAGTAGAGACCTAAACCACGTTCAAGAAGGGTTATTAGGATCCCGCAGTTTGATTTTTTATCTTATTTTAAAGAGAGAGATAGAAAATTACAGGATAGGTTGTGTAGAAGGGACTAGTATTTCTTTAAAGAAGACATTTTAGTCATGCCATGATTAATTCTTAGATAAGAAACTACGACGAAGATTAATTAATAAAAATTATTAATAATGGTAACTTTTTTACATTACACTTATTTATTAGTTCCTCACTTATGATAACTTTAGTAAACAAGTTTTAATTCTATGAATGATTTTTGAAATTTAATAAGTATCAAGTGAGATGAAGGCCTCTTTGAAATCTTATGCCGCCAAACCACGAATGAACACAAATAAAAAATAAGATTTTTTTTAAGAAACCACAAAGACATCTTCCCTTGCATTCAAACGTAATGTGCGTTTACCCTACTGATAATGATCGAATGCAGCCGATCGATATGACAGCGTAACATCCAAACAATCTCAACTCTACTCCACAACAATAAAAGTTAATTTAACTTGTAGAAGTTTTACTAGAGTTTGTGCATCGATTTATAATAATTAACAAGCTTGTGTATGACGTGGTCACGTGGAGCGTGCTGTCGGTGATTTACTCTGATCTTTACCTAGGTAATTTCGGACTTTGGAGTGACCTGCCCTTTAGGAAAGTTAGCGTATCTCGTAATTATATGAGATGGGTAATGATTATGGTGTCCAGGGAAAACGCTTGTTTGGTTTGGTTGAAATTTAATTGCAAACCATTATTCTAGAGAATTTAACCCCATTGTAACAAAATATACGCGCGTGTTAATAAATTAGTAATGCTTCAATTTCATCTTATCTCTTCCTATGTTGTCTGAGAGAAATCACTTCATAGCGATAAGACCGCCTAAATTGTGCCAATTCTTTTATGTATTTCATCCTCTTCTTGTGTCTTCCGCTTTGTGTTGTGGGCAATTAAACAATATTTTGTTAATCTTTTGGACTACACTAGTTCCACTTTTTACTGTAGGATAAAATTATGCGAACACCCTGTATCAAAAACCTACATTTCACTCTACAACAGGATTTTCCCATCGTAAACAACAGTAAATACGTCAAGACCGTAAATCTACACGTAAACCATGACGTTGTTGGTTAAAAAAACAATCGCACGTCGACGCGTCCGCGGCTCGATAAATCAGAATCGATAATCGACCATAATCGATGCTGGCCAGCTGACCGATTAAAGCGGTATACACACTAGCTTATTTGAAAGAAACAAGAACAACGTAATAAAATGTACCTAGTACCTACCTTAAAGCGCATCTACACGAAGTTACACAAAAAGATTGTAATCAAGGATTTATTTAAATCATTTCATTTATCTTTCAGGAAACTTTGTATGTTCGAATTTTTTATCCGACTGCGTCAGAAGGAGGGTTATTTAACTAATTGATAACTAATCGTATTCGAATATTCACAAAATATGAAGGAATACATCCAACAATTTGTGCAATCCGAATACGAATTGGAAATCCAATGTAGAGATAAGTATCAACCTAAGCTATGTTCCTCTGAAAACCATTAAATTGTAGATAGTTAAGTATTTTTAACTTTTCTTCTGTAACCTACCACTGACTAACCCTAAGGCATTGCAGTGGAAAAACACCACCATTGTTGCAGTCAAGTGAACACCCAACTTTACATCGGCGTAGAGTTACATGGTACAGGTAACGAACTAACAACCGCATGGTTTTGCCTTGTTCCATCCCAGAGATGTATTAGTTTTATGAACCCATGGTTAGTTTATGTTAAAGAGTTAATTTTTCATCACTAAATTAAACCAATAATAGTAGCAGCAGGTTGTTCGTCATATAAATAAGTAAGTAAGAACGCTTCAGGACCGATTTACTCATCACCAGCTGCCAAATGGTATCTAATTTGTACACTTTACACTTCTATTGTGACGGATTGATAGTTTGTTTTCCCTTAGTTGTATCTTCAATATTTATTCAATAGATCTCATTTTAATTTCTAAAGATCAGATAATACCTCCTTAAACCTATCATGCTTGAAGGCTTGAATCGAGTTTGAAGCGCCCATTTCAGAATTATGATCCTTGTACTTGTTAAAAAAAAATTACGTAATTTATAGGCCCAAGACTCCAATCATAAAAAAAACTGAAACAAGTTCCAAATGACCCCGACTTGTGATCATCCCGGTGACAAATGGGGTCCCGCCTCGCCGCTTCCACGTCGCCCCGGGAGCATCCATTACCCCCAAATTAATTGGGGGCGGGACCCCTAACACCGCGGCTAGTTCAAAAAATTCTTACCGTAGTTAGTCTATTTTTAATAGATAGCGTGGTTGATCACCGAAATTACGAGAGAGTGATATTACTAGATGGTAAAAAAAGCTTGAATGAAGGTGCTTGCTTTAAGAACGGGTCACTTCACTTTTATACTTTAGAAGTTAGTTATGAAGGAACTTTGAATGCTCCATAGTTGAAATAATAAACTGAACAGATCGGTGTGAATGAGCCAAATATTTGTAACCTGCAGATACCTATTACAACCTCATTTCAGCCAAATCCACTGGACAAAGGCCCCCAAGGATTTTCATAACGGCCGGTCCTGCGCTGCCCTCATTTATTATTATATTTACTCATTTCATATCTCATTACATAATAAGTTGTGTGTGGGTACCTACATGTAGACAATAAAGTAAAATAGGTACGAAGGTATCTCGACAGACCATGCGCCTACCCATACAGTAACATTGATACTAAAGAAATTAGGTCAAGAATTTAAGAATTGCGATGTCAAAGCACTCATGCAGAAGCATTTCGACATACCCAAAGAATAGGTTAGATTATCGCAATCTTTGGAGCAAATGTTTTCATCTTACGTTACGCAAGATCCTAATCTGAACTGTCAATTTCTGATAAGGGAGAAGCGATCGATTCTACACCTTTATCTCCACCGACGAAACTTGAGTTTAGTCGACGTAGATCCATGTGACCGTGTGTCAGACAGCCCAAAAACGGTTCGTGGGGTCTATAACGTGAGCTCAAAAATGGATAGACCTAGCACGAGTCATCAGTCCGTGGAAAAAATCGAGGTCTTCGAAGTGAGGGAACATGTGCCGTATCAACAAGCGGAAGTGACGCGTGCGCCGACCGTTTACGATGAAGAGAGTGGTGCCATGTATAATGGGAGCTGGGACTCCGCTTGGAACGCGATATGCCAGCTCTTCAACTTGCTGCACCACATGATGGTGGCGATCGTGGTGTTCGTGCTCTGGCACTTCGCTTTGACGTCGGAATCTAACGGAGGGATCACCAACTTGTCGCTGCACATCGTATTTGCGGGCACTGGTGTATGTGATTTTTTGTGGTTTTAATCTAGTGGTTTATGTTTTGTTCTGGCATCTTTGAAAATTCGAACGAAGATAGTGATAGAAAATTCTCGAAAAGATAGGTCTAAGCAGTAAAATGTGGGAAATATTATCAAATTCCTATCTAACACTCAGCGATATCGTAAACTAACTTAGTCATAGTAAGATATTACCCAGAATCTGCTTCTTTCACAAATTATCAGTGGTACCTACCTATTCTAAACAATCCATAAAAAATAAGCCATTTTTACAATGCTTAAAAATTAACATTACTAAGTAAGTACCTACACCCTAAAACGAGCAAGATGATGTCCGCTTTTTTAATTTAACCGTCTCTCCAAAAAATGCGATGTGTTTACTCAATGTCCACATAACTAAGCAGTCAGAGTCAGAACTGATGCCCAGCAAACGAAAAGCCGTGTGGGTTCAATTCCCATCTGAGGCAAAAGAACCATCTCTTTCTCAAATTCCGGCTGAGTTGCACCATCTCACTTTAACTTTAACAAACGTCAAAACTGTCAAACTCCATACAAAGAACACCGGTTAACGTTATAGATATTTACGGTTAAAATTAAGTAAGTAGGTGGTGCAACTCAGACTAAGTGTTCATGAGCGAGAGCCAAAATACGGCAAAGTTCTTTTTCTTTTTTTATTCACAACGAGGAAGCCTTTGGCCTGTATATTCCGAGTATTTGTGCAGTCGCAGCTTGTACTGTCGATACTAGCTGTTCCAAGCTGTGTCTCCCTGAATAGCGGGCCTTAGGTCAACCACCTCACGTGCACACCAACGAAAATTGTCAAATCAACTTAAAATTCTTTCCAGTACCAACTCTTCCTAGTGGAGGCAGTTCTGACGCTGAACAAGCACAACTCCTGGTCAGTCCACATGTCGGAGGATGGGAAGCGGATCGTGCACGGGTGTCTGCAGCTGATCGGGTCTATATTCGTCATCGCCGGCACTTTCTTGGGCTTGGCTAGGGTTGACATGGCTGTCACCACCGCTCATGGCATTTGTGGTGAGTCTTAAGATTCCTAGTCCTATGCCCGTTTTCACCATCGATCCATATTTTTTCAGTGACCCCTATTGCTGTTGTTTTCATACGGGTCACTTAAAAATTAGGGATTGATGGTGAAAACGGGCATTAAGTAATCATTTAGCGACTTTCATACAAAACGACGTCACAGACCTGTAGGTAATCAACAGCATATCAGACTAGGTATATATAGTACATTTTAACTTATTTGCAAGTAAAACCATTAGGCTGGGTTGCACCACCTTACTTTAACAAAAAAAACCGGTTATGGATAACCATAACCGGTGTTTTTGTATGGAGTTTGACAGATTTGTGACGTTTGTTATAGTTAGTTAAAGTGGTTAAAGTAAGATGGTGCCATGGTTATGATGAGCAGTGTGAAAATCCTAAAGTGGATGAATCAGAGTTCACCGTCTTCAAAGGAGTGCCTTCCTCACAGAGCAATGATACGTTGCGTGCGTTGATTAATCTCAAAAAGTTGGCGTAAAATTGATAACTAAGAAATTTATCTTTTTCTCGATAAAATATCTAAAGATAAAGGCGAAACAACTTTATCTCGAAATACTTGAAATTGCATCTCACACTTTAAAATGTTAACACATTATTTAGACCGAATGCTTCGTCTGTTAAACTTCATACTTTTATAGTTAGTTTTTTATTTAATCTTTCATTTGATTTAGCTAAGTGTACTCGTTCAAAATCTTAAGAGGTGGCAAAGTAAGTAATTGCAACGGATGCCTTTTCATGTTTTGCAGCATTACTTATCTTGGTTAACATGCACCGAAACGGTGCGGAAATAAACGTGGCGTGCGTAGGTCCTAATAGTATAGATGGGGGATGACACCCGTATTTTCTGGTAATACCTACTTACAACTCGATCGAGCTAACAGCGCACCTGGCTGGAATGTATCTCTCCCTTGCACACCCGCACACATCTCTCGTTCGCCCTGTGTCCGTACCAGAGCGTCGATGTGAAGGTGCGTACGGATTGCGCGTACCCTGGTACGCGTACTCAGTTTACGCGTAGCCGGAACGCCTAGTCCATGTATGTATGGACCAGTCCAGTCCAGGGTACGTGCAAATTGCAATCCGTACGCACCTTGACGTTACGGCTGTGGTGCGCGTTAACTCGACCGTTTGGTTCTCACTAACTTCTTCTACTAATCTCTATCTTACAGGAGTGATCGCGCTAGCATTCTCAATGGTGAGCTTCGTATCCGGCATCATAGCGCTATTCTCTGCCAAGGTGCGTCTGAACATCAAGAGTAAACCCATGAGGATCTTCCACATAGGCTTCGGCCTCATCGCATTAGCCATGGGCCTCGTTACCATGACAATGGGCTTCAATATGGACTACTTCAAGGCTTCTAGGGAAAGCCTGTCCATTGCTCTCATGGTGTTTGTTCCTACCATCCTAGTGTACACGATGTTCCAGCCGATTATAGATATTATTAAGATGGTGAGGAACTTGTGACTAACTAAGACCGTCGAAGGTTCGACCAATGGCGACAGTACTGCCTAATTTTGTTTTATGAATAGGTTTAAGGTGTCCACTCTTCTGAAAATAAATAATGCAGTTGGTCATAAGAACTCAATCAATCAAGTTTAAAATGTTTGGCTATTCATTTTCCAAAGTAAATAAGTATACCTACTTATAAATAGAGACAGGTATGATTTATCATATCTGTCTCTGAACTTGAATTTAATACCTATGGATAGACCGACCTGCTTTTGTTAATTATTATTTTAATAAGAATTATTTTGAGTAAGTGGACAGTTAGTTTTAATGATATTTTAAGTTATTGTTTTTTAATTTGCATAATAAATAACCAAGATAACACATAAAAATTATGAGTGAGTGAGAATAAAATATTTGTTGATGAGAAATAATATCAAAATTTTACGCGTAACTATCTTGTTACATACAAAAATTTTATGTTGCGAACAGTAGGTATTTTGGATCACTATAAAAATTATTATTATCATTTAAAAATTGTTAAACTCAGCTCTTTTCACGTAACGTTTTAACTCATTGCTAAGCTTATGTACATATTTATGTCTTACTTGTATTGTTATGCTAGTATAATAATATGAAGTAGTTTGTTAGTGGTCTAATGCCTTTGAGTGTGTGTTTTTGAATACATGTTTTTTTTAATATTTGAGTTTTCATCTGTCCTTCCCGTATCATCAGAAGAAAATTTTGTGTTGACATGCATTTTCCTAATGGCCTTCACACTTCACAGTTATGCAAATTACTTTGAAACATTACTTACATCAATAAATATTATCAAAATATAATGAGCACAGCTAGGTCAGCTAGCACTACAAATCGCCTACAAAAAGTTACTTAGCAATATCAATGTCTTACAAAATGTTGCGAGTAACATCACATTCTTTCTTTGATTATTTTTATTTATTAAAACTTCTTTAAATCTCATAAGAATATTCGTTTTAGCGATAGTAATCTGAAACCGAATCGATAGATCATATTATGCAACGGATCGTTGATCCCGAAAATTAAAATTATTGTTGATTGGATTGCATTCTATGAAATCATACTCAAGTCGTACCAAATAGAATATTTAATGTTCCAATAAAGGTTCCTTACAATACATTAGATTACGACTTAGGCAGCTGCTTCTTGGCGGCCTCGGCCTCTGCCTCGCTTTTCTCGAAGGCGGCGATTAGTTTCTCCACCTCTGAGCTGGTCAGCACCCGGATAATGGTCTTGTTGTCTTTGCGAGTGAGGGTCGCCATTTCCACTGTAATAGAAACAATAAACTGTTGGAATTCTTTTTCTTAAAGTGAAACACACCTCGGCTTCACAAAATGGTGGTAAAAGTGACTTGAAGAAATTATGTACAAATACACACAGGTCACGAAGATCATTTGTGTTGAATGCTGTCTTGTAGCGATGTAAGCGTCACGTTAAATCATAGGAAGATATTGGTAAATAAAATCTGGTGCTGTCTCTTCAATAAGTATGCATGCACTCTAATGAGCAGAATACAACATGAAACATCAGCCTAATGGACAAGACAAGTGTGAGAAGGTCGAAACCAAACTTTAACAGATATTTTCTTCATCACTAGCCAGTTTAGTTTACAGCTATTTCATCTATCTAACCGCTAGATTTATGATTTTTACCTTTCTCCGGAGTCAGCTTAGTCATGTCTAAGGTCTTGCTGAGGACTTTGATGGCGAGTGCCTGAGCCTCAGCCAGAGTTGTCTCATTCTCCTTGTACTCCTGCTTCAAACTCGAAACCGCAGCCTGAAAATAATTTGAAATAATAAGTAAATGAATAAATAAGATTCACAGTACTACATTAGAAAACAAGGGACTGGCAAATTCATGAGATAATGTTTAGTGTTGTGGTCAGTAGGTAGCAACATAATTATACATTGTATAAATAAAAATCTAAGGTCACACACAATAATATTTTAGAGATTTGCTACAAAACAACAAGAAAATAATGTCATACAATAGAAAATCATGTATTTTTATGTTAAAAATTCTGTTATAAAGTTTGATCATGATGAATATGATTTCATGAATTATTGTTAAATAGTTTATATTTTGCAATAATAGATGTGCAAGGAATCTAATATACCTAAACTCGGGGAAGGGACATCCTATGATTGTAATGATGATGATAAAGTACTTTAAAAATGCTTACCGCACTGTTGTTTCCAATGCAAGTGGCCTTCCACCCACCGTAGTTACCGCTGGGGTCCGACTGGTACAGCTGGTAGCCGTAATGCTTGTCCCAGCCCATGTAGAGGATGGACACACCGAATGGCCGTTTGCCTGAAAGATTTGTGTTATTTACAATTAACATACTTGGAATCAAAGAAATTTTTACCTGACTTGTATCAGTGTGGAGGGAGTGTGAGGTTTTTATAGATTTAATAATGTGCCTCCAACAAAAAACATGATATTCTTTACTTAGTGTTAGATCTTTACAAGAGTGATGACTGATAAACTGATAAATATATCTGGATTTGGATCATCTTGAAGGCTTCAAAGTTTATGAATTACTGTAAGATTCATTGTATGCATAAACACACATAAACATAACATAATAAGTTCATTTTTATCAACTTTTGTAACCAAATGCCTTAATAAATTAAGTCTATAAAAACACAAAAATTTCTATTACATACCTCCATACTGTGTGTAGGCTTGTTTCACATCACACAGCCAAGAAACCAGTTGTTCACAAGGAATTGACTCTCCATACTGTAGTAGGTATCTCTGGGCAATCAGTCTCAGTTCATTTGTGAGGACATTAGCGTCTGAAGTGATACCAGCCACTGAACACACCATGTCATCATTCAGTTTATAGATTTTCTCTGAGAAAAACACTTCATCAAGAAGTTTGTTTGTGTTTCTTCTTTCTGCAGCTAGGAGAATGCCATCTGTGGCTAAAATACCTAGTGAAGTACCAGCGTGACTGATGGCTTCCATGGCATACTCAACCTGGTACAACCGGCCTGTAGACAGAAGAATACTTTAGAAAATTGACTACTTACAGTTAAAAATGTATAATGTAAATGTCATTATTAAGCTTACCTTCCGGCGAGAATATTGTCGTGCGTGTATCATAACGACGTGCCTGTAAAATATCAAATAAATAATATGAGACCGGAATGACCAAGCAACTATGCCAAGCAACATTTAAATCTAACCTAAAACAAGGCTAGTTTTGAAATATTTCGTTGACAATTATTTATAAATACTTACCATTTTGCTAGATTATTGTTGCAATATCACTAAAACTTCAACAAAAGTCGGTAATTTATTACTTGAATTGAGAAAATAAAAACTGTTTCTGATGCCGCACAATGACAGCAAACTTTTGCTTTTGACGTTTTTTTTTCTTAATTTGTTTTTTTTTTTTTGCGGTTGAAGTGACTAAGCATTAGGTTACAACTAATTTGGACTACGCGTCTTTTTGCGAATGCAATTAATGATATAACTTTGTGCAAATTGCAGACGTTGTTAAAGCGCCATTTGTACGTATTTGTTATTTCGCGAGCATTAAATGGCATCAAACGATAAAAATAACTGCGCCTATGCCAAATGCTGGTCTAAAAAATGAAAATATTTTGGCTTAAAAGAGTTTGACCCCGAGCCATACAATGCGTATATAAAAAAAATATGTTAACTAGTGATGTCTATCCTAAGTATTCAAATACGTTTCAATTGAAATAAACAATAAAATGTTTTGGGAAAAGCGGGACAGATCATAATGTATTTAGAAAAAAAAAATTTTTCAGTAAATAAACTGACACCCTATTATGACTTATCTTTCATCCCTTTACTTTACCAAAACTAAAAATAAAGCTGACAATCATTTTATTAAGACAATTAGCCATCATAAAGCTGTAAGTAATTTATTAATATCTCAATTGTTTTGTTTGTTGGGTATGCTCCAATACTACTTCATTCAAAAACAAAAAACAAATGATGTCTGGATTTTCTACATAATTATTTGGTTTCTAAATAGTAGGCTTATAAAACAGTGTCACCACTTGCAGGCGCGACTATGACATCACTCCTTGACATTTGCTCAGAGTAGCTGGGAAGGCTATAAAAAAATTGAGGAATGAGATTAAGCCACAGTTAATTATTCATTTTGACATTATATTATACCAATACTGTGTTCTAGGCATTATTATTGATGAATATTGCCGCCCGTTAAACCACACGTTTAGGCAATTAAATAAGTAAAAGTATCGAAAAAACATCTGACGATCTGGTGAAGATCGCGGGAAATACTTGGACTCGGCAGCGCAGGACCCGGTCGTTGTGGAAATCCTTTGGGGAGGCCTTTAAATAAATAGATGGACGTCATTTAATTTTGGTGTAATAACGGCTAAAATATTATCCAATGATTTTTAAAAAAATCTATTATTTTAATGGCAACCAAACCTCCTCTGTGGGAAGTTTTTAACTGCCAATGTCAAGTTAAGTGTTGATTGCTATTGCATGTTGTATAATAGAACAGGGTGTTTTAATTCTGTTGCTTTTGCAACGATTCCATGGAGACTAGAATTCCCGTAAGCAGGTTTCAAGACGCTATCGGGTGCGGTGCCAAAGCGGATGTGCGCTCAAATTCGAAGTGTTTCACCTCACTGCACTTTAAAATATATTAAAGTCCATTCAAAATCAAAATTAAAAATATTTTATTCAATTTAGACCACAAGTGGCACTTATGAACGTTAAAATATCTATATCTATCTATAATATAAAAATGAATCGCAAAATGTGTTGGTAAGCGCATAACTCAACAACGCCTGGACCAATTTTACCAATTCTTTTTTTAAAATGTTTGTTGAAGTCCAAGGATGGTTTTTACAGCGAGAAAAGTTTGAATAATTTCCGGGTAAACCCTAAAAAACTCGTAACTTCACCCCTAAGGGTAAAACGGGGTCCACGCGTACGAAGTCGCGGGCGGCCGCTAGTCTTCTTCTATATACAGTGTGTCCGGGCATGTAGTGATCAAACTTTAAGGGCGTAATCTATGGACAATTTTATCGGTGAAAATACTTTAAATTTGGGGCTTGACCCATTTCTCGCATATTTACAAGGATTTAAGTTTTTCATTTTAAGTTTTCACCTCTTCCTTCAAAAACAAGTGATAGCGTGGGTAGTTTAACATTAATAAGCAAAAATTTTATATCATACGATAGCCAATAAAATTATCTATTAGTAGAAGTAGAAAACAGATTTAAGTTTAATACATTTTAAGGGTGTAAGAATGGATTTAATTAGAAATAAACATGATTTTTTTCACATTTTTTTCAGTTATTTCCCAACACAAGAAAAACCAGATCGTAAAGGTATGTTTTATTTACATTGTATTATTAGTATTTGAGCTATTCTACAAAAATAATGTAAATTTATTAGTCTACGTCTATTAGTTTCGACGTAATTGTTGAACAAAGATACCCCTTCCCAGCGGTTTCCATAGCGCACGCGACATGCGAAAATGCACTGCCTGAAAGAATCACACAACCTATTCTGATTACTATGGAAAACGCTGGGAATGGGTATCTCTGTTCAACAATTACGTCGAAACTAATAGACGTAGACTAATAAATTTACATTCGTTTTGTAGAATGGCTCAAATACTAATAATACAATGCAAATAAAACATACCTTAACGACCTGGTTTTTCTTGTGTTGGAAAATAACTGAAAATGAAGTGAAAAAAGTCGTGTTTTTTTCTAATTAAATCCATTCTTACTCCCTTAAAATGTATGAAACTTGTAACTGTTTTCTACTTCTACTAATAGATAATTTTATTGGCTATAGCATGATATAAAATATTTGCTTATTAATGTTAAGTTACCCACGCTATCACTTGTTTTTGAAGGAAGAGGTGAAAACTTAAAATTAAAAACTTAAATCCTTGTAAATATGCGAGAAATGGGTTAAGCCCCAAATTTAAAGTATTTTCACCGATAAAATTGTCCATAGATTACGCCCTTAAAGTTTGATCACTACATGCCCGGACACACTGTATATAAAAATGAAACCCGTTTCGCGTTGTCACGGCATCACGTGTGAACGGCTGAACCGATTTCGATAATTCTTTTTTTTAAATGTTTGTGGAAGTCCAAGGATGGTTCTTACGGAAAAAAATATTAAGAAAATCTCTACGCTAAGGCGGTACGAAGTTCGCCGGGTCAGCTATAGTAAATAAAAAAAAGGTAGCCCTTATGATTATGGGGCACTTTACATGACGTCTTCTTATCGTACATCTTATAATACAGTCGAATTTGTCATAATGTATTTAATATTAATTTTATTATTTATTTCATTTGACATAAATACCAATTGACTTTAGATTGAATTAGATTGGATTTATTTTATTCTATTTTAATTGTTCGTTCGTTCGTTTCAGCCAAATGACGTCCACTGCTGGACAATTTTAATTGTATTTTAATTAATTAATTTTGACATTATGCATTGTGTAATAATTTTATTTATTTATTTAATCTGACACTTATATTAATACATTAACTTAAAATGACTTAAAAACTAAAATTTAAAAAATACTAATGATAAAAACTATTTACAAAATAATTCTAGTATGTGAAATAAAATTTTAGGGTTAAATTAGATTAATTTTATTTTAATTGAAATGCAGATTGTGTGAATTTCCTATACAATGTATTTTGTTTTTGGTATAAATAAATTGAAAAATTGAATTGAAATATCTTTTGGGCACTACCAGCGCTTAATTAATAAATGAATACCATTAAATCAAATCGACCATGCTTCCCGTTCAATTACCCTCCACGGAATCTTCAATTACTTTTTCAATTGTTTTTCTTTCGCGGCACTTTAACTGTCAAAGTTCGTTGTTTTGACAGCTGTCTGACAGGTTTGGTGACGTGCACAGAATATATGGATATAGTTCCAAAATACTGGACTGTCCTGTCGATGACATTGACAGTGGGGCGCCACCGTCAATACCGGATCGCTGGTTCAGATTTTTGCCATGTTGGAAACCATATAGTTGAACGATGGTAGCGCCCCCCTGTCATTGAGTTTGGCGGGACAGTTCAGCGTGGGTCATCTATAGATCACAGATTCTGTGGTGACGTGCAAAATTTTCGATTTCGAAGTTGGATTTTTCGAAAATATTGATTTTTGCTTACAAGTATAGTTTTATGTGTGAATAGTTGCTAAATAAATAGCACAATGGTGGAGAAACCGACGCGAAGCGTTCAGACGCAGCCAAAAAAATCTAGATTAGAAATGAACGTACGGCAATTGCTAAACAAATGTGAGCAGATCGCCAAGGATGAACCGGTGGACTCCAACTGGAGGCTCCGAAAGTACGTGGAAGCTTTGACTGAGATGATGACTGAGCTGAAAACTGGACCTGAGTATGTAGACACAAGAATCATCAACGTAACGTACAATGTTTGACTAAGTTGAAATATTTAAATTCTTAATTTAAATTTTATTCTTACAGCAAACCAGCTAAAGATGAACTTGCTGAGTACACTAAAAGGACTTCTTTCCTGCTAGGCCTCATCCAAACAGCCACTCTAAATAGCCCTATTGAAAAGGTAAAGAAAGAAAATAAGTTTTTTACTTACTACCTAAACGATCAGAAAATGTTGAGTTTTATAAAATCTGTGTATTTTAAAGTTCAATTCTGAAGTTGTTTTAAACTTTCATGATCACTAACATAATTATTATTACTGAAGAGATTGCTACCATGTACCTACCTTACCTACTAAAATTAAGGTACATGGTAATCCCATCAGTAATAATAATTTAGTTCTGAAGGTTATGCCGTTACAATTTTAGCTGGAAGCAGTCCAGCAGTTGTCGCACGGTGTGGCGACAGTCAGCGCTGATGCTGCAGCCCAGGAGATCCACCAGAAGACTGTAGCCAAGTACGGAGTGGAACTGAGATCAGAATTGTTTGGTTTAGGTATGTTGAACTTCAAAATTACTTGACGATTGATAGAATAAATGAACGATAAAAGATTTGGCTCAATACAATATTCAATTTCACACAGAAGCTGTATTATTTTTAAATAGAAAAAGTGAAAATTACCATCAGGTGATCCTTCTGCTCGTTTGCCTCCTGTCATATAAAAAAAAAAATATTTAAACCCCAGACTAGGAACACCCAATCTGTAGCTTACATACCCCCTGGTGATATTAGCAAACCTAGCTAACTAACAATTTCGAGAGTATCCAAAACTAATCTTACCTTAGATTAGGTGGTATTAGTGAACCTAGCTAGCTACCAAGTCCTAGAGTATCCAAAACTAACATTACAATAGGGAGTACTTATAGGCCCAAACTTGATACACCCCTAACTATTTAAGTTAATATCTGTGAGGCCTACAGCTTAAATACTTTTATAACTATCATCATCATCATCATCATCATCATTTTTGTAAATATTAGTGACTCATGTACTTTTACAGTTTGCTCGTACAAAATAGCGAGAAACTATTCCACTCTCTCTTAAAAAAAAAAACTTTAATAAAGTCAACAATTCAACATCTACATTTATCACTAATTATCTGGTAATAAACTACCAGACTAAAAAAAAAATCTCCATTATCTTTATTACAGAGGACCCAGACGATGCTCTTCGTAAACGGAACATAATAAAAGCACCAAACTTCACGAGCAACAGCAGCAGCCAAGAAGACATCGACTCCTTGCTGAAATACCACCAGAACATGCAGGAGAAGGTGGCTGAGAACATGGTCATGCTTACGAGGAGTTTGAAGGAGCAGTCGCAAATTGCTAGCACAATTATTAAAGCAGATACTGAGGTAAACTATGTTATTTATTCTTTACTGGTGTGAAATGCAGTTAACCAAAATCACAAATCAGTATAAAATTATGTTGTAAATGTAACTGATGAAGTGCACAAGTTATGTCATGTTTCACAAGAAATTTACAATAATTGAGATCGGGGTTTAAGCCTAGGTGCAGACCACCGATTTTTAGTTGGCCAATAGTTGCCGGCCGATATCAAATCGGTGTAATGTGCGCACTTTCATACATCTCCATACTGATTAAGAGCCCGACTCAACTATCGGCCAACTATAAGTCGGCGATTTGCGCCTAGGCTAAGGCATAAGGGCTAAATTGACAGATTATTACATACCGAGTTATTTGTGGAAGATAAAATCAGAAATGCTGGACTTTTTTGTTAATCTCAGGCATTGAAGAAATCATCTGACCTGACAGACCGCAACATGATGTCTTTGAAGAAGGAATCCACCAGATTACAGGAGCACAGCCGGAGCGCCTGGAAGTGCTGGCTGTGGATCATGATAGCTGTTGTCGTAGCCATTTTTATAAGTGAGTAATAAAATAATTTAAAAAATGATGTTGGATAATCAGATAGGATACTCTTGCTGACTTAAGTTGCAAATATAGACCCAATACACTGAACTGACCCACCCGTGACATTGATAGGGGGGCACCACTTTAAATACCGGAGCGCTGGTTCCGATTTTTGCCATATTGGATACTATAATTATAGTTGAACGAAAGTGGCGCGACTCGAAGACTGGCAGTCACTAACGTATAGTCAGAGTGTCAACAAGTATAACTGCTTAGGGCGCGACTCGGAGACTGTCGCCGACAGTTGACTATATTCGCCTACCACTATCACAAGCAGTTGCCGACATAATGTCGCTCGTCTGTGAGCTCTCTAACCAATAATTTCAAGACGCAAAAACATGACAAGTTCCCTAAAATACGAACTTCTCTACTCTTCATTCCAGCCTTAAATCTTTTGAGGGCTATCGTATTTGGTCTCACCAGTTGGAGTCTCTTTAGAGTAAGGTCCTGTCACCCTTCAGTGGCTCAGGCAGTGGCGCCTACTGATGAGCGCTGAAGCGGTAGAAAGACACGCATTTGCACGTACCAAGATGGCAGCACTGTAGTAAGGTCCTCACTAGTACATCAAGCTTAGGCGCAGACCACGAATCGTATCAGCCGATTCAACAAATTAGAATCGAGCCCAACTATCGGCCGACTAAAAGTCTCTAGTCTGCAAGGAGTCTTAAAATGTTTCATAATAGATACTTTATCTTCTACTAGGGCGACTTTGTATCTTTAATTACCGAAACTGATGTGCGATGAAGCTGAATGATGTCCTATTTAATTTGTAACAAAAACAGGATAAAATATTCCACTTTTTGTTCCAGATATGGTGCTCTTCATGAAAGTTATGAAGAAACGAAAATATGAACTATAAGTGGTATGTAACTTTAGTTTTTTGTATGTTATTTATCTCTGTGTAATCTTAATACATACCTGTTTAATTATGAATCATAATTACGTAGTCAATGTTACAGTTAGCTCTAAATGACACTTTAAAATATTTATTTATTTATGTATACCTACTTGATTATACCTATGTGTATTGTATTTAATGTAACTTATTTAATATCGTGTAAATATAGTTTTAAAAACATGGCTAATTAATTAAGGTGCAATAAATCTAAATCTACAGAGAAAGTTGTTTCATTAACAAAAATAAAACACCACATTTAAGTAATTCATTTAATTTATTTTTGTTTCTTTTGTCTAATAAATACTCAATAAAATTAATTCGAAGTAAGATATAATTTTTCAAGTACCAATATCGTTTGGTCCTTCTAGATTTTCTAAGGATACGGACTCTACATAGCAAGTATATTTTTTCTTAATCGCAATTGGTATAGTAAAATAACTATTTAAAGTAATTTTTATGCCTATTTGGCAATAAAAACTTCAATTGCCGCGAATAATTCTCTACGAAAATTACTGAATTCAATTCCGTCTATATTATATTACGTTTCTACTCCAATCGAGTATTAAATTTTAATCTGTGCGTGATTCTATTGGACCTTTGCTTCCGATATTAAAAATAATTTAATAATTCAGAAATTAACTACTCCACTTCGAAGCTCGTATGACATAATTGCATACGATATTTGGTAGATATCTTAGGTACTGACGCCAGCACATCTGATTATTAATTTTGTTGGAAAATCGCTTTTATTAGAACCGTATAAGATGTTACAGTGTTAAGTTTTATGTGCCGCCGTCCATACATAATACAAAGTTAATGTTAATTTATTTTAATATACGCTTCTAGAATTTTACTAATAGGTATTTGAAGCATTTTGGTTTTACATCTTTATAATTACACTAAATATGATGAATATTTTATATTGAACATCTCTAGGTAGTCTAATAATAATTTTATAGTGCGTAGATAAAACTATTTTATTTATATTTATGTTACAGACAAAACTCCATGCATAACACTCGTGTAAAGTTCGTGACTATGTGCTTTGATAAAAACCAAATATTTATTACATAGACCAAGGAGCAGGGGAGTCCAAAAATACAGATAATTTTGTATTTTTGTCTTTATGTTTCCCCCTGTGAATTAGGAGTACAAAATACGCTGAGCAGCTATTTGATTTGCATTATTTAATTTTATTACCCAAAATATGAGGCATTTGAATAAGAAATGTGCACAGAGATCCTAAGAAGGAGAGGCCTTGGTTGATTGAAAGCTAAAGTAATATAGATGAATAAACTAGGTATATTATTATTCCTTTATTCATCTTACTTTCTTATTTTTAATTTTTTCTTTTTACAATGTAATTATTATCAAAAAATAAAAATACATTATAAAAAAAAAACTTAAAAATAGTTAACCCGCTGGCAGCGGAGCAGGGCCCAAGCTACCGGTGGTCAGGGTCACAGGCTGAGGAACCTCCGGACAATGCGTGCCGTGCTGAGGATCACCGCCTTTTAAATCTGACCCTTGAGCCAACCATCTAGCGAGAGCTTCTTTAGATGTTGGTCGAAGCTCTTCGCTATTAGCCCGTTTGCCGAGACAACTATCGGGACAATGATCGTCGAGTCATTATTATTATTATTATTGTATTGCCTGCGAGTTCTGGCTGTGACACACCACACAATATACTTATTTAGATATAGTTTGTCTATAGTCTATGGATAGGGTGAATATATTTTTACTATTTAAAGGAATAAATGTCATAGATTGAAAATTTAAGCTAAATGAAACTGCTACGTATATTTCTTTTACATATTTCAATAATATTTCCATCTTCTTAATAACTGTCCAATACAATGCACCGCGAATTATATTCTCGGTGACGTACGAGCATATTTTACACTTTCCCAAAATAATTTCTATGTTTTTATTCATTGCACAAGATTTGTTCTACTTCTTGTCGTATACGTCGGTTAGTTCGAACTTCCAGATCTTGTTGGGTCCTATTTCGGTGACGTATAAGTGTGAGCCGTTCCTTGTCACGGCTAGGGAGTGAGGGTTGGTGAAGCCCTGCAAAGAAAGAAAACTATTTTGAGATATACGTATAACATGTCCTTTTCATACACTTTAGGAACAGCCTGTAGGGTGTTATAACTACACTACACAACACATTTTATAGAAGTGCCACTTTCCAAGTACGGTGATTTTTGGTTGTAGGGGGAGATAGCAAACTTTTTCAAAAGGAGGATTGACACATTTGGCAAGTTTTGGAAACTACAATTTGTTTCAGAAGATCTTTAAGGACGTCGCACAGTTATCAACCCGAAAACGGATCGTAACCGTATCAACTTGAGGCGGTTCTTTGTATTAAACTCTGTACTGCAACGTACACTTATCCGCACCGTAAAAACGCCTCGCATCATGACGAAAGGCGAAACGATGTTGATCCCTTTCCAGATTGATAAGTGTGCTATTTACCTTTAGATGTTAACAACTTAAAACAAATAACTCACCGTGCTCGGTTCCCAAGTATCCATAATGGTTCCGTACACAGCATTCACCGTGAACCCTCTAACAGCTATGTTCTGCGATGTGGGACCATTCACTGCATACAAAGTATCTCCTTGCGAAGCCACCGCGAACACCCTTCCCAGCGTTGGGTCCTCAATAACCGTTGCTGGCTCGAACATGTTGATGTAACTCTTCAGTCCAGCTTTGGGGCACACGATCCTCATATTCTCTCTATCAGCAACACACACAATGTCCAAATGCTCCAGTAAAGTCACGCTGTGGGGCAGATTCAGCGTCAAGGTATCAGAGTCAGTTGGTATGGCCAGCAAAAGGGTCCCTGCTGCGTTGAACTTAAGGATCTGGTTGTTGCAATACCCATCAGCCACGAAGACCTCGCCAGTGGTTGCCACGGCAACCGATGTGGGCATACAGAGGAGAACTCTACGTCTGTAAGGGTAGCCAGCTGTGAAAGCCTCTCCGATCGTCAGGACTGGGTATTTGTGGTTGTTTGGAGTGTACTGTAAATAAATATCTACATTAGTTATGTTTTAAAAATCGATCAATTTTACATTTACTTTGATGATATTTTATTATTGTCGATGAATTCAGAATTATTGTTGATTGATTCTCAGAGAGGTCCTTGTATTTCCTTAATGGATTTCATTTTGCAAATAAACATATTTGAACAATAACTTGACCTACAAGTTAACGTTACGAAAACTCACGCATACCTTAAAAACTTGATGCTTAGCGACGTCGGTAACCCAAACATTGTCGTGATGGTCGACTGTGAGTCCATGTGGCATGTAAAAAGCATAAGCACCCCAACTGTGGAGCACCGATCCCGTCAGTGGATCCAAGATCAAAATTGTATCCTCAATTATTGGTCCTTTATCCAAATTTTGGTACACATTTGACTCGTTGAATGTGCTGCAAGGAAATACCAATTTTATTACGTGTTACGTTAGTTTGATTTTAGTAGTTTACGGATGCTTACTGCTCACCTTTCGTCCCATACCCTTTCAGCTCTGTGAAATATAACAGGCTGTCCCAAAGAATTGATCGACACAGCTGTTATTTGTCCAACGTTCAAAGACTGCTGTGGCCAATCTTTTACTTCTTGAGGTCGTAAAACAATCTCGTCTTTAGGCTAAAAGTATAATCGTTCCTTTAAGAAATGCCCTCCAAAACTGGATAAGTATTAAGTTAAAATTGTACTTCTTACCGGGTGAAGGTCCAAGTTTTTAAGCATGTTGTCTTCGTTCGTCCCATAATTGAAATAATCGAAATTATCTCTCACCGTTTCTGGCTCACAATTTATGCCAGCAAAAGCCACCACCAATAACACTATTGGCACCATTTTACCCATTTGTTGTGGTCCTCTTTATTGCTCAGATTAGTTTGCTGTTTGCCGGAGTGGCACGATATTGATTGCGCGAGTTGGACTCGACGCATGCGTGTTACCAACCAAGTTCCGGCTTGAAGAGTATCAAGCCTTATTACAACTCTCAAGGTCAAAATTGGGGAATCATCGACCAAACAACACATTACATAAACATATTTTTATTTTCACATAAGTTTAACAAGTATCCAACTAAAGTTAAGATTACACAATAAGAGACGCACAACAACGAACATTCAAGGAAATAAACAAAAATAGGTTCTCTTAGGCTAAATATTATGAAAATATAAGACGAAATTTGATTTCATTTACTAGTGAATCAGTCTCAAATTAGAATCGTTGTTCGAGCGTGGCACAATCGGAGATTAGAGCTGATGTGGCACTTTGAGAATTTGTAAATTTGGCACATTTGGGCGTTTTGCGAACGTTTAGGTTATAAGGGAGCTAGCTTTTGAGATTTTGGGAGCCAAGAGTATCTTGATCACTGTCCACGCCACTCGGAATTTGGCTGGTCCCAGATGTAGCCCGTCTCCGTCATTGAGCAAACTGCGTTGTAATACTTTCCTGGACTTCGACAATATGACCACGAAGGGCATTTACACCTAAATAGTGTTTGAAATTCCTCCTTGCACACTTCATTCCACCAGCACGTCCTCTGCAAAACACATTCATGTCAGGATATTGATTTTCGCGCACGATATCGTTTGATGTTATTTGACACTTATTTTCAATACACTTTTCATTTATCTCACCTCAGTGATGTATCCTTTGACCGACTGATCAGAGTGACTTCTTTTCGTTTGCGTAGCCGTCCCCAGCATTGTAACCAATATAATTGTGTATACGAACATTACATATTGAACCTGGAATGTTATACGATGAATTCATCACACAAACACATGGAAAACCTTCAATGCACACTTGGAAAACACTTTTTGCCCTTACCTTAATCATAGCAGATATTTCGGGCCTAAAATAGATTTTGTCGGGCGACCTAACCTTTTCATTTCACGCCCCCTGACGGAGGTTTGTAAACTTCGTCGCGCCTCTTTGCCATTTTGTTTGACAGCACAATTTTCAGTAGAGAGTTGCTTTTCACCGACATTATTAAACGAGTAGAAGATGCTAATACTGAATTGATAGTCAATTGTTTTTAACTAAATACTTGTTTGTAAGTAGGTATGCATGTACTCGTAGTAGCTGATTAACCAAAAAAGTCGTCGCTTATAACTCAGATATTTAAAAACATAGCAATTAGTAGTGGTCCGATGATTACAGATTCATCATTATTTTTATTTAGAGTAATTTCCCGTTTTATCCAAAATCGTATGTAAATTATGTAATGTAATAATTAGGTACTATTTATTTTTGAGCAACGAAGCTGAAAATTGGTATTTTCACGGACTAGATTTTTTGATGTAGAAAGAAAACTGACAGGTGATATGTACGAACAATTTAATCCTAACAATTTTTAAAAATCACTAGCTACGTAGGACTTCCAAGATGTTCTTACAATTAAAAATGCAACAGTAACAATAAAATGAGCAACATAACATAAATACAATTAAATTAACGTTAGAATATAAATTAAAACCCCAACAAATAAAAGCGGGTATTGGATTGAAGATAAGCATTTGGAAGCACAAGTTAGGTTTCTCGAATCTTTGGGTGGTATAGAAATAGGTTAAACTCCAAACAATTAACTAAAAGATAAGAATGGCACTTAGATATAAACAATAAATACACTTTTACAAACAACTTTGGTCGGACACTAGTACACTACCACTACATTTGGGTTCTACTGGCTCACGCGCCTTCGTGAAATCACTACAATTGTCTACATTGCTTGTACTTCTTCTATATTGTTCTCTTCTATGTTGTGTTCGTTTTGAAACCTGTGAAGGTCTTCTGCGTCTTTTCTGTAACAATATGTAAGAATAAGATTTGAAGATGCAACTACTGAATTGTTTATGAATGGTTTATTGTCTTTTATGGTCTTAAAATTCTTTGAAATATAAAAAAAAAAACTTTTTAGACACCCATTGGACTTTAGACTTTTTGTCGGCGGATAGTTTGGTTGTGCAGTTAATCAGTAATTCAGTATTAACATGAAAGTACGCACATTACAATGATTTGGTATATCAGCTGATTCCTCATACAAATTAAAAGCGTACCAAAGTATCGGCTGACTAAAAGTCTGTAGTCTACGGGTTGTCTTACATTATTTCAAGGAAATCATTAGGGTTTCCATAAGGGTAGCATATACCTACCATAAGGTTACTCATTGTGGTCTATTAAAATATAGTTACCAAAAGTGTGTATGTACTTACGAGTATTTGTTGGGCGATGCTTGGAAGATACTCTTAGGGCAAAGTCGGAAATATGGCCAGCACTCGCCCCCAGCTTGGCTGCCAGCTCGTTCTGCCTCCACATACTCTTCTAGAAGATTTGCGTATGGGGATTTGCTTGGACTGAAAAAGGAAAACTGTATGCACCCTGATAGAAAAAAAACTATGCCCGAATTATGCCTTATAAATGTTGGTTTTCCACAAATAGATTTTATCACGAGCGTAATCCCTTTCGAAAAGCGGGATAAAAACTATCCTACGTTTTGTTCCTGTGCCTAAAGCTATCTCTATACAAATTATTTTAAGTAGCAAAATTGAACTGATTGTTGTGAAGTACAGGTACCAGCCGACCAGCGAAGATAAAATTTGGTAAATGGAAGTAAAATAGTCATGAACTTTAGATCAACATCAGATAGTAATCAACAATCTCACTCACGTAAAGAATAACTTCATAATTTCTCCGACGAAACCGAAATTCTTGAGAGGGTGGGCCTGTATCTCACATATAGCCCGCAACAGGCACTCCTTGCCTGATAAGCCGAAGTTTGCCAGGAGATCCTCAGCAATGCCGTACAAAAGGGCTCTGAAAAGAAAAAAAAAGATAGGATAATAAAACCAATAGCAATTTAATAACAGAATCACTTGTCTGTCTAAAAATCACAGCCCTGTAAGAGTTACTTTGTACTTATTGCATAAACTGCTTTATTCGACAAGCATATTCCAATCGTAAGGAACTACGTTTTCCTCAGCTAAATCACAAATTTTATATAAACTATAAAGCACTTAAATAATGGCGCCTCATTTGAGAGCGTTGATAGAATGTTTAATGGGACCAACAGACGTTTCCTATGGCTGCAGCCAGCTGCCTCCGCGTGTGGAATACCTGATGATGTCTGCTATTAGGAGAGTGAAAGTTGGAATCAATAAGTCAAGTCCCTGGTCACGATCGTCGGACCACGTGGGGCCCTTATACGTGCCGACTTCCAAGTAATGTGTGTGGGCCTGGTGGTACAGGTTTCGTTGTCCCAGATTTAGGAGGACCCGTTGTATGTCCTTTTATGGGCGTGTAATCGAGTCCTTTGGTTTAACGGAGCTTCGGTAAATTGTGTATTCTTCGAAATTGGGGGTATCATTATGGTATACCAATCGTAAACCACGTCGCTATCAAATATGGCTACTTATTTTGCTTCTTCAGTTTCTCCTTATCCCTAGTTTCTATTAGCATACTCATCAATTAATTTATGTTCAGCAGTGAACGTCCTGTGACTATCACGCTCTTAATATCTTAAAATTTTTGCTACTACGATCTCATTGAGATTCTCTATCCTGACCTGATCATGAACCATCGTACTTTAACTCAAAGTTCGCAAACTATTTTATAATATAAAAAAAAAATCTCACCTTTCGCCTCCATGTAGTTTGTCAAGCACAGCTCTCTCCACGTCGGGGTTGATCGTGGAACCCTCGGACCGCTTCCCTCTCCGTCTCTCCAGGTACTGACCCACATAGTCTGTGGCCATGGACAATGCTGCCCTGCCCATAGACCGGGCCAGGATTGGCGGGAAAGCGCCGTAAGGATTCTCGTTGTCTGTCAGACCTAATTTGTCGAAGTCGACTGTGAAAATAAGTTTTTTTTTAGAAAAAGAGCAAAGGAATAATTTCAAACAGGTTTTGTTGTCGTTAAGTAATTATTTTTATTATAAGCGGTATCTATTGATCAATATCTTTTTAATGTGGGTTGTTTTTGAAAGTTTTATTAAATGATGAATTTACGATGCACGGAAAAACGTAAAATGATTTTTTACTTCTGAAAAACAAGCTTTTACTTACAACGTTATTACTATTATTGTTTAAAAAGTAATAATTTATAGCTCAATTACTTTCAGCATTCCTTTTGATACAAGAGTTATTACTACTTATATTTACTTCAATTTTTATGTTTAAATACAGTTGGATCTATATTAATTTGTAATTAATGTTATTACTAATGAAATTACCTGTGGAGTTAGCTCGTCAAATTTTATGTATTTTTCTAAATGTCTAACAACTAGCTAAATTAAATTGTAGACTGGGTTATTGCTACTTGCTACTTGTTTCTAAAACTACTAACTCCTACTGAATATACCAATACTGACTTTGGAAGTCCAGGGTGTATTTCAATGTACCTGTAAATGATTTTGATTACACATCTCTTTCTAAAAACCTATCTAGAAAACGTTTAATTCGTTTCAAGATAATAAGCAGCTTTTCTTTAGTCAAAATTCTTAAGACTTAATTCATGAAATATTATTTGAACTTTTAGTTTTATCTCTATCATAACCTATGTCACTGTGCCAATCCAAGATTCAGGCAGCAATCCTCGGGACTACTCAACCTTCACTGGTTGGATTTTATTGGAGACCAAACTGTAGATCCTGGCTATACAGGAGTTACAGTGGTGGGATGTCCCGTAAACCAAAATTCAACGAATCCAAATAATAATGTAAAAAAAATGGACCAAAATTTTTATTGTGAAATTCTTTTGCTTAATCTTTGCGTAAAAGTACTTACTTGTAAAAGGAAAACTAACTGTCATATTTGACAGGAATCCTTTGGGCGGGTGCCTCACAAAAGGCATTGATATGGACGGTGTAATGGCCATGGTGGTCCCCGGGGGTAGGGCCAGGCGGCCATCGTTGGTGATCCACAGTATCCTCTTCTGCCGGGAGTGGGGTATGTCTTCTTTGGGGATGTCTTGGACGTTCGGGGATGCCATAGGCAGTAGCGCGGCTAGGGCTATGCTGAGCAGCACTCGGGGTACTGTTGGATCCATCGCCAATCTGGGATCATTTACGTGGAGATTAATAATCGGGTTGGTATTATTTAAACGTATAATTTGCATCTCTACCATGTTAGAGGATTTTTCAAGTAATGCTGCTTGGATAACTCCACAGATGGGCATTTTCCTTTTGTCAATAATATTTTAATGTTAATCAATAATTAACCAAATGTGTATTTTTTTCCTTTTTGAACGGTTTTATTTAGCTATAATAACAAATTACACGTTCTATCTCATCAAACAACCGACATGTTAGGTTTTGTATTTACATCTCCCATAAATAACGTACTTCGTTGAAAACCTTTTCATTTTTCCTTTATAAAGTTCAATCACGTCGCTATCAATCATTCGTGACATTTACTGACATTTACATAAAACCACATAAATATAAACAGTTTTCTACGCAGATATTTTATTATAATTTCATATTCATTCACCTAGTTGTAAAGTGGATATTCAAAATGAAGATATCCGAGTGCAATCATATTCGCATTAGAGATGGTAATGCCTACGGAGCAAACGTGGAAGAGTTAATAAAATTCATCGAGAAGAAGTATAAAATTGATTTTAGATCTTTGCCGCAATGGAAGGACCTTGTGAAGCGATTACACGTCATGACCACCGACTGCAAACGCAAAATTGAAGATGCAAATCAACGCAAATACGTTATGATAAGCAAAATCCTCGTGGAGTCGACGAGAGACTCGCCGTTTGCGCTTACCGACAAACTAGCAAGAACATACAACAAGTGGAGGATGTTAGAAACTGCTCAGAAGAAATCACGAAGAGTATCTATGAAACCTGAACCAGATTTCTACCTACATCCATCTGAAGAAATAATCGGAGAAATCAGTGAAAATACATCAATTGCTCATCAAAATACTGAGATATTTCTGCCTGAACTTCTAGAGCCAGAACCAGTGGTCAAATCTGATGTAGAAACAGAAACCGAAGCGGTTGTAACATCACATCTACCTGTGAGCATTTGTATAAATCAACACAAACTCATATCTCCTCTGCGGTCTCAAGAAGTAATTTTCGATTATTATGTCATGCCTCAAGAGTTGGAAACGGTGGCTGAAAGAGAGTCTAAAGAATGGTTGTTGTTAAATCAAACTGAATCAGTTAAATGTTTCCCAAAAGAGATTTGCATTACTAACACATCACCTAGTGAACAAATCATAAAATTTTCAGTTGTCAATTGCACAACGGAGTATATGAACATCAGATTCATGTGTATAACAGACGACTCGCCCTTTAAGAGAATCAAAATTATACCAGCCACTCCTAAAAGATTATATCCAGGCATAGCTCTAACATTTAAATTCGTTTTTAAACTTTTTCAAAATGTCGATGAGTTTTCTTCCATGTTATATTTTCGAGTTGGTCAAAAAGTTTTAGAAGAAGCACCCGTTGAGGCTTTATGTATTCCTATTCAGAGCAAATTTAAATTATCAAGACAAGCATCCGTATCAAAGGCAGTTCATATTCCGCCAGCATATTTGTGGCAAATAAGAGAAGACATGGGTTTTCCGACTGGCAAATTAAAAATATCTGTCAATGATAGCCATTCTTATCACTTACACATAACAAAGCGGATAGTGAATATTAGCAGAGAGTGCCAAGATAGTATTGTGTCAATAGACGTTATAAGTCCTAACACAGAGAGTTTAATTGAAAGAGTTGAAGATAACGAAATAGTCACGGAAAGCAAAATATTGGCAGCTTTAAAAGAAAATCCGGCTGAAGAAATTCAGTCTATCAAAACTGCAGATATTATTGCTTTAGTGGTGGAAGATATAGTAGACCTCGCTGTAGATACGTTTGTGTTTGACAACACTTATAAATATTTAGAACCACATTCAAAAACAACGATTAATGTGTCTTTTACGAAACCAGAACGCATTGGAAGCCACCACCATTACTATGACTTGGAGTTTTGTGATACCACTACTGATGAGGTCATAATAACAAAGATTGTTAAAGTTTTTGCTGAAGTCTTACCGCACCCGATACAAATATATCCTCGAATACTAGACATGTCGAAATCTCCCATCACCCATGGATTTTGTGAAGACGATATTGTGATAACCAACACACATAGACTCTACCCTGTTACAATTAAATTTAAATTGACCACGAAAATGAAGAAGTTGTTCTGCATTACACCTATGGAATCATTAGTACCTGCTAAATCAAGCATGAAGTTTGCTGTCAAGTTGTGCTCAAAAGATACCTTATCAAAAGACACAGACGAGCTAGCTCATTTTACATTCAAAATTATAGTTTTAGGACACAAATCTGTCTACCATAGAGTGCCTCCATTTTTCTATGAAATCATTGCACCGTGTGCATCAGAATTTAAAAAGGTGTACAACGAGAAATATTTCAGAGATGAATGAATGAATAAGTCGCTTATTTGAAAAATCGTAACGTTTTGATGAATTTACGTTTCAATAAAGGATTAATACGAATAATTTGTTTCAATCGTGGGCGGTCTCTTAAAATGTTAAATGAGTAGACAATTTGAGGGGAATGTCGTCGTGCCGAGTGAGGTAGCCAGGATAAAACCTGTTGACCGACTTGCAGAATGTGTTACGGGTCAAGTGAGACGATTGCCTGGACCCGCATAATATCCCAGACCAGATTCGCAGGTCACACGTGAACCGGTTTGATTCAGATTACAATCGATTATAAATCATACAGTTTGATGAGTGGAACGGTATAGTTCCGATTGTTGTGATCGATGCTATCTCGCGTGTAGAGCATACCAATAAATTACCTAATATGATCGTGTTCGAGTTTCAGTGGCATTAAATTTTTATGTGCTTTAAAAATAAGGAAGGGAATATACGAATTGGTAATAAATACTACGTTTATAGCTAACTTATGATTATGATATTACTTAAACAATTGAAAAGCACGAAATAATTCGTTAAAAAATCTAGTAAGGAAGGTAAATTAATTTCGTGTGGCATCAACTGTATAACAATCTTTAGGTCGTCGTAAAACCTACTTGTCATTCGCTAAACACTGTTTCATTCGCAACAGTACCTACCGAGTATGTCACCTGAGAATTGATCAGATATCGATTTATTTCGGAGTTGCTTCACGAAATTCATTAGTATGCATACCTAGTAGCGCTTTCACGGACTTCAAAAAATTTACCCTACCACAATACCAAAAGGATGGTTGGCTTGGCAATCGTAAAAGGTATAGCAGATTTACAGTTTCTCATCAGAAACTTATGTAAATTACAACGATGATAGTTTTCCAATATTGTTAAGAGTAAATTGCAGTTGTGTTTTTACATTTCCATTTCAGTTATTAACATTGACGTTCTCAAAACACAAACTGTTACCAAGACTACTTAGGCGCAGACCACCGATTTTTAGTTGGCCGATAGTTCGGCCCGATTTTAATTTGTATGAAGAATCGGCCAAATCGAATCGGCGTAATGTGCGCACTTCCATACATGCCCATACTGATCAACTGCCCGACTAAACTATCGGCCGACGCAAAATCGATGGTCTGCGCCTAGGCTAAAGATAAGCACAATATAGCAACGTGCTAGCTAGTGCGCTCTATCAAAAAACTATACATTCGATGTCTTCCTGAAGTGCCATGCCCATTTCTCTTCACCATCATCAGGTCATTTAGGGACTCGTACCCATTTCGATTGTATCTATTTACGCTATTTTACATCTTACCGTCCTCTATCTTTAAATTTAAGACACACTTTATTTATTTTGATTTAACTCGGCGCATTTCCAAATCAATTAGGTCTTGATTTATTACTTAACTATCAACTAAAACCCTATCTATATGGCTATCATGACGTCCTATTACTGTTACCGTATTTATAATATTTCCAAAAATAAAATATGTGTAAATACTAACGACAGAGTCAACAATCCCTATTTCTATACACAATAATTCATTCGCTTGATATATTTGCACGCTAACATGTTCTACCAATCAAGATGCTTGCATAGATCACTATCTCTCACTTAAGTTTGCGTGAACGAAAGATTCGGAACAATAAATCTATTTAACAATTTGTTTTAATTGGTAATCGCTGCCAATTAAACTAATGTTCATTGAAACCTATAAGATCTAAGGAATTCATTACGTAATTTAATCGATGTACGCACATTATACATAACGGGGAAATATCTTTAGCAAATAGAGTATAAATTATTTATCGTCAAATTATAGCTTTTGTACAAGATAGATCTTTTAATCTTTGTAATTTTTTCATTATTAATTAAAATGATGATGATGATGTGTAGATTGTTATGAGTTAGTTAACGAGCGAAGAAAAATTTAGGAATTTAATTTTTTTTTATGCATGACAAGTGGGATGCAGTCTAGGATGATACGTATCGGCCCTGTACAAGACCCGGATTATAGTGTTCAGGAAAGACAGCAGCAGGCAGCGAATTCCAGTCCCTAGCTGTTCGCATCATAAAAGAGTCATCGCCATAAAATTAACAGTTAATTAATTTTTATAATATTCGTTCGACGCCTTTTGGCATGTGTTCTCGCTACCTCTAGCAATACAATGAGGTCTAAAACAATAGCTTGACCTAAGAAAATCTAGATTCACCTTTGGAATAGGGTTTCCACTCTTATACAAAAACAAATTGGATAAGATAAGGATAATTTAGACTTATATCTAAGTAAATGTTTGATCAAATTGACATTAATAAACGCAGCTTAAATATAACATTAATTTTCGGGGTTCGGGTTCGATTGATCCTTGAATTTTATCAGTATAAGACAAATATTATGCAAACATCAGCAAATCTCCCGAACAAGTTTAAAGGAAAATTCTCAATTTGCCTGTGATAAACCAGAAGGCTCGTGAACCTGCAGTGGATACTAAAATACCTGATCATGATGATGATGATAAGTATAAATAAATTAATCAAAGTCCGTCATTTTCCAGATGCCTGGCAACCTTAACGGTAGCTAGAATGCGCGCACGCATCGCGCCATTTCATCTCCGCCAAATGTGTTATTGCTTTAACTCGAGGACCGCTTTATCGCACCACTACCACATAAATGTTGCAGATAAAATTTGGCAGTTGGACAAGTTAGAAAATTTCCAACAAATATAACTAAACTTCATTCATTGACAACGAACAATAAATATCTTGAATCATTACATCAAAACTTCGAGGAAGAACTTGCTACTGATGAATTTGATGTAGAAAGTCGTAAACATGTACGAGTACAACATCTTAAACACAATTAAATTGGAATCGGTGATTAATACATTTAAGATGTTTGCGAACAGGTTTATCTTAAAATTATAGGTTTTAGATACCCTGTTCTTTGGTAATTGGCTCGATTGGAGTTAAGGAATAATAACTTATTATCTCATAATTAATTTTAAAAATATCATCACTGACTTATTAATTGCATTCTATGATCTACCACGACCTGATAAAAATATTTAATTTTACAAAAGTTTATGTTGTATCAAGTTTGAAATTATCTAAATCGCATATTGACTAGCGCAATACGCATGACCTTATTTAGTGTGGTTTTGCAAGTATTTGACATGTTCTGGTTTACTAAGTCAAGTAAGCTTAGAATAAAGTGTCACATGCGAAATATTAATATCATCAACTCACAACCATTCTGCGACAATGTTACATTCACTAAAAATAGCTAAAACTCGAAAATTTTGAACAAATCGCTGTTGATATAGTACCTTATCTTTACTAGTAAACATAAAGATATTGAACATCTTCAAAACATTCTGAGGGAAAATTAATATCACCAACACCCAAAGCCTCCTTCAAACATAAATCACAATGCAATTCATTTATCGTCGCTAAGTGGTGTTAGCTGGATGCAACAAATGCAATTTATATCACAGATAAACATCTTTATGTTGTAACTCAAGTCGCATTAACTCAATTATGCAACCGTAAAATCAACATTGTCCAGCTTATCTCTGGCTCAATTTACGATCAAGACATAAATAACAACTCCCAATTTAATTGCTCAATGCTCGCGAATCCATATTTCATGAGCCACGCGCAAAATAGGAAATTGTTAGTTGTCTTTGGCACGAAAACAAAACTGTTTATAATTAGCATTACATTTACCGTTTCGGCAATCGTTTTTACTTTCATTAACATTAACAATTCTCCCTGCAAAATGTTTCGTTGCAGTGTTCAAGTATTCGGAAATACACACTGTTTAATATTTCATTCCGTTTTGGTGATATAATTTAATCAACAATATTCTTTTCATCGGCTTTTCTATTATTTCAATTAACTTCAACACTGTAAAAAAGTAAATTAAATTAACTCTACCTAATTAGGCTAGGGTTAATTAAACGCTTCGTAGCTACGAGGAGAACATGCTTAGAAACAGTTGTTCACGATCACGATCACTGTAGCTTGAAACCTAACGCTCTATCCCAAGATGAAGACTTACCTCAATATCACAATGCAGGATCAAAAATATTCATTCACCACACCAAGTGCCTAATATGTCCTTGATAACAACACTCACACTGAACTACTATGTCCTTGGCAAGCGAGCATCGCTAAATGTATCGACCGACCGCACGTAACTGCGCTCGCGGCTTCCGCTGCCAAAATTTCGCTTACTTTCCGTCGCGTGCACGAATAACAAACACTGTTCGTCCTAAACAAAATCCGCAATTGGCTGACGTCACGCTCGTCCTTCGATCTTGCTGCGTCTAATTCGTTCAACGTCCGCTGCACCGAGGAGGACTTTGTATTCACATGCCACCGAAACTCTCTTCCCTAATTGCGATGCGCGGCGCGTACTTCGCTTTCCGTTTTGCAAAACAATGGAGCGCGGCACCCCTGGCCGGCGAGCTGCTCATCGTTGGGTTGTCACTTTACGGTACAGTCATAACGTAGTTGTTTAACAGCTTTTCTTTAATCAGTTATCTGGCTGCGCGCGCTGGCACGAGTGTACCGGTGGCGACTGCTAGCGAGCGGGTGTGCGCGCCGACGTCGCCTCGCCAGTTGGCCACTGGGTTAGCAACGTTCCTTTTCCTGCTTTGCTTCTATAATGGGTGACTTACGACTCGCATGTCTGCTTGGACCCCATCATTGGGGTCATGCGAATTAAGAAAAAGTGATTCGCAATTTTTATCCTCGTCACATTTTGCGCACGGAATTTGCAATTTATTTGCCGTATCGGGTAATGAGGTTTTAATGAAAAAGGGTATATTGAAAATCCTCATTCTCAATCATCAGCATTTCAATCAATAGGTGAAAGGTTGATTGATATCTCTTAAAGAAGCAACATATTCCTATCGACCCTGAATGTAAATTATTGTTAGCCAAAACTGCATCATAATCATAAAATTTAAAACCGTAACCGACCCTGCTTTACAGCACCAATT